ATTTACTGTTCAGTTCATAGGGAGGGAAATTGAAGAATTAAAGAAACACATGTTTAAATAACGCGATTCTCCATTCTGATTGTGTGCAGTTTCTTTCCTTTGGTCTCTCAGAATGTGTTTTCCTTGTGTTGAGGGGTTTGAAATAATGTGTAAGAACATTTAATCTTATGTCGTATAAACGATAAACTGTGTATGGGTTGAAGCTGGATTTTTAACTAAATTCATTTTTCTATCCCAGGGCTAAGCCACGAAGTTCAGGAAGATGTTTCTGGTAAGCTTCCAAAAAACAAAATTATGTGTGTGCCTGCCTACACACACATACAAAAGGAAAGTCAGCATTTGTCTCATTTCATATGTTTATTTTCATGGTGCACATAACCGTGTGATATGTATATATTAATTATTAAATATTCTCCTCCCTCTTTTCCCTTTGTTCCTTTCATTGCTTTACCCTTTCTTATTTTCTCCTTAAAAAAAAACCTTGTATCCTTTCCATTCTTCCTTCCTTCCCTCCTGAGCTTTGACCTGCTCCTGACACGCAGGTAATGAAATACTAGACTCGGAGGTGACTTTTCCTTACTGTACACAGTTGAGATTGTCTGACGCTGCCAGGACCCTCTGAGCTGTGCGCACTGCTGCCTGCAGCGTGTGGTGTTGGAGTCACACACTGTCCAGCAGCAGGAGAGCTCGTGCTGGCTTGGTGACGGCACAGGACTCGGGGGTGGGGGTGGGGGGGCACCGTCAGGGCACAGGACCTGCCAGTGTCTCCCTTTCCCGTACGTCATAGTGTAGATAGAAATTGTAAGTTGCATAAATTGTTGAATTATATAAAATAATCTTTGAAGTTAAGGACCATGGTTTTGTTTTGGTTAAACTTTAATTGGTGCTCATTGAATTGAATTCATCTCTTAAGAAGTTGTAAATTATTGAGTTCCATGTTTGCAGTGAGGGAGAGTAACTGTGTTTTTTGTCTTTCAAAACATGTTCAATTTATAAAATTTATATCAGTATATAAAAGTCTATTTTATTAGACTCTGTATTCTGAACTATTTTAATCATTTAAAAAATAAAAAGATAATCTAAAAGGCTTCTAATTAAAGGTTCACACTTACTTTATTAATTCACTCTGCATTTAGGAGGCCCTCATCCCCCTGAGGCTGTCCTTGTGTTTATTTGGCTCGGGGTTGGGCCACTGAGTTTACTCATAAAAACCCCTTAGATTCCAGCTAAGAACTGTTAAAAGGGAGTAAATTAAATTTGCATTTGACTGAATTTTATACCTCAGCCCATTTTTTTAATCCGTGTTAATTTGTTGCTATAAGCATATTTGAATTTTTTTGAAAACTAGCAATGTATATTACTTTAGCCCTTGATAAATTAGTTTGAAAGAAGTTGATCTGAATCTAAAATAACTTAAACTGTATTTAATGCCACGTAAGGCATAAACAGTTATGATGAGTGTATGAACAAGGTCTTACTTATCCCATTCATGCTCAGTGTCATTCATACCAGGCTCAGACATTTAGGCTATTTGAGAAATAATGATTTTTAAATAAAATGTAAATCCAAGTGAAATTTATCTTATTTTCAGCAAGGATTGTTGAGAATGTGGGAAAAATAGAGATTGTCCTGAAGAAAAAAGAGAATACTTCTTGGAAATGTCTTGGTCATCCCCTGGAGAATCATAATTCATTTATTCCAAGAAAAGATGTGGGTATGTGCTATTATTTTATTATGCTAATTCATGTTCACACAATTGTATGTTACATAATTGTGCCAGAGTTTGGAAAGCTGCTTTGGCACGAGCTGAAGGGTCCTCATATCTAGAAGGTCTGAAAGGAACCAGAGCTCCTTGGTCTCTTGTCCATCGTCTTTTTTTGGTAGAAGTTAATTTCAGACTCTGCTGTTTAATGCTCAGATAACAGTCAGCAGGTACTGACAGTTTGGGTGGAGAAGCCGCTGTTGCTAAGACTGTTGACCAGCCGTTCACTCCTCGGGCCGTCTCTTAGGAGAGATGCGAAAACAGTTCTCAGTTTGTGCCCTGTACGCACATAGGGCTTTTTTTCCTATTATAGAAAGCATAAGTAAACCAGTTTCTCAGTTTACTCCTAAAGGATGATGCCATTCATTTCCTTCTGTTTCTTTAGCTTTTTTTTAAGTCTCTAAGATATAGAGAAAAGGGTGCATGTTATCAGTGCTCTGCTTAATGAAATTTCACGAAGTGGACACGTCCTGACGTTCTGCTTGTTTTCAGCAGATTGGTCCTCAGCCTGCAACCAGGTTCATGCTCTGAGCTCACCACAGGCTCACGCTCTGAGCTCACCGCTGCGGCTGGGCTCACGCTCTGAGCTCACCCCTGTGGCCGGGCCCACGCTCTGAGCTCACCCCTGTGGCCGGGCCCACGCTCTGAGCTCACCCCTGTGGCCGGGCCCACGCTCTGAGCTCACCCCTGTGGCCGGGCTCACGCTCTGAGCTCACCCCGGGCTCACTCTCTGAGTTCACCCCTGCAGCCGGGCTCACGCTCTGAGCTCACCCCTGCGGCCGGGCTCACGCTCTGAGCTCACCC